ATTTTCAGGATATAATCAAATAAGGATGGCTTATGAGGATATGGAAAAAACTACATTTATTACATCATGGGGAACATTTTGTTACAAAGTGATGCCCTTTGGATTGAAGAATGCTGGAGCAACCTATCAACGAGCTATGGTGACTTTGTTTCATGATATGATGCACAAAGAGATTGAAGTTTATGTCGACGATATGATTGCCAAGTCAAGAACAAAGGTAGAGCATATCACGAATCTACAAAAGCTATTTGTGCGGCTAAGGAAGTATAAGCTCCGACTTAATCCTGCCAAATGTACTTTTGGTGTGAAGTCAGGCAAGTTGTTGGGATTTGTAGTTAATGAAAAGGGTATAGAGGTGGCCCTAACAAAGTGCGAGCAATTTTAGAAATGCCAGCTCCTAGTACATAAAAAGAAGTTTGTGGTTTCTTAGGTAGGTTGAACTACATTGCCAGGTTCATATCTCAATTAACTACCACCTGGAATGAAGATTATCAAAAAGCTTTTGAGAAGATCAACCAGTATTTACAAGACCCTCCAGTTTTGGTACCTCCCATTTCAGGGAGACCTCTCATTCTGTATATCTCGGTACTTGATGAATCTATGGGTTGTGCGCTGGGGCAACATGATGAATCTGGAAGAAAAGAACAAGCAATTTATTACTCGAGCAAAAAGTTTACTGACTGTGAAAGAAGGTACTCTTTGCTAGAGCGAACCTGTTGTGCTTTGGCTTGGGCTACTCGGCGTTTGAGACAATACATGTTAAGTCAAACTACTTGGTTAGTGTCCAAGATGGATCCGATCAAGTATATATTTGAAAACCCTGCTTTGACTGGTCAAATTTCTCACTGGCAAATGTTGTTGTCAGAGTATGATATTGTGTATGTAACCCAAAAGGCTGTTAAAGGCAGTACATTGGCTGAGTATTTGGCTCATCAACCCATCGAGGATTATTAATCAATGCAATATGATTTTCTAGATGAAGATATCATGGCTTTATTTGAGGAGGGAGAGTCCATAAATGGAAAGAAGTGGACGTTGTTATTTGATGGAGCTTCTAATGCACTAGGGTATGGAATTGGGGCAGTGTTGATTACTCCAGAGAACCGATTAATCCCTTTCACCACAAGGTTGAGTTTTGATTGCACTAACAATGTGGCAGAGTATGAAGCATGTGCAATGGGGGTTATAATATGGGGGTTCTAGCAGCTTTGGAGTTCAAGGCTAGAGTGTTAGAAGTTTATGGAGACTCAGCATTGGTTGTCCATCAACTCAGAGATGAGTGGGAAACTCGGGATTCTAAATTAATCCCATACCACTCATACATCAAAAATTTAATGGAACAATTTGAGGAAATAACTTTCCATCACATCCCTCGCGAGGAAAATCAACTGGCTGATGCCTTGGCTACATTGTCTTCGATGTTCAAGATTAGTCAAGGAAAAGAGGTTCCACTGATAAGAATACATAATCAAGGTCAACCAGCATATTGTCAAGCAATAGAAGAAGAACCAGATGGAAAACCATGGTTTTATGACATCAAACGCTATCTAAAAGACAGAGAATACCCTCCTAGAGCTTCAGCAAATGACAAGAAAACTTTAAGGAGATTGGCAATGAGTTTCTTCTTAAGTGGAGAAGTACTTTATAAAAGAAATCATGACATGGTATTGCTTAGATGCGTTGATGCTAAAGAAGCTATGGAAATCATGGAAGAAATCCATGAAGGTTCATTTGGAACACATGCAAATGGACATGTAATGGCAAGAAAGATCCTAAGATCTGGCTATTATTGGTTGACCATGGAGGCTGATTGCTGTAGTCATGTGAGGAAGTGTCACAAGTGCCAAATTTATGCAGATAATATTCATGTTCCCCCAACATCTTTGAATGTATTGGCCGCTCCATGGCCCTTTTCAATGTGGGGAATAGACGTGATTGGTCCAATAGAACCAAAAGCATCCAATGGGCATCGATTCATTCTTGTTGCTATCGACTATTTCACTAAATGGGTTGAAGCAGCTTCTTATGCCAGTGTGACCAGAAATGTGGTGGTCAAATTCATCAAGAGAGATTTAATTTGTAGATACGGGTTGCCAAGTCGGATCATTACTGACAATGGGACCAATTTGAACAACAAAATGATGAAAGAGTTGTGTGAAAGTTTCAAGATTCAACATCACAATTCTTCACCATATCGCCCTAAGATGAATGGGGCAGTGGAAGCAGCAAACAAGAATATTAAAAAGATTATTCAAAAGATGGTGGTCACCTACAGGGATTGGCACGAAATGCTTTTTTTTGCCCTACATGGATATCGCACTTTTGTTCGCACCTCTACTAGGGCAACTTCATATTCTCTGGTTTATGGTATGGAAGCAGTGCTTCCCATTGAGGTTGAGATACCCTCTCTAAGAGTATTGGCTGAAACCAAACTTGAGGAAGCGGAATGGGTTCAAGCTCGCTATGATCAATTGAACCTCATTGAAGAGAAAAGATTGAATGCCTTATGTCATGGTCAATTATATCAAAAAAGGATCAAGAGGGCTTTTGAAAAAAAGGTTCATCCGCGAGAGTTTCAAGAAGGAGATTTAGTATTAAAAAAGATATTGCCACCTCAAAGAGATCATAGAGGGAAATGGACCCCGAATTATGAAGGGCCCTATATGGTAAAAAAAGCTTTTTCAGGAGGGGCTTTGATTCTCACAAATATGGATGGGGAAGATCTGTTGAACCCAATAAACTCTGATGCAGTCAAGAAATACTATGCATAAAGGAGAACACAAAATAATAACAAAAAAGTTCGCTAGGTTGAAAACCTAAAAAGGCAGCTTAGGCAAAATATAGAGCGATTTGGTAGGCTGAAAACTCAAAAAGAGCAGCCTAGGCAAAAGTTAGGGTCTAAAAAGAAAATGAAAACAAATAATAACAAAAAGAAAAGGCTCGCTAGGCTGAAAACCTGAAAAGGCATTTTAGGCAAAACTTAGAGCGACCTGGTAGGCTGAAAAATCGAAAAGAGCGGCCTAGGCAAAAGTTAAGGTCAAAAAAGAAAAAAAATGAAAAAAAATGAAAGAAAAAGAAAAACTCACTGGGCAGAAAACCTGAAAGGGTAGCTTAGGCAAATATCAGAGCACCTTTTCTATAGGAAGGTGAAGAAGGAGGAAGTAGATATTACAACCAAAGTATGAAGCTAGGGCAAATTGGAAGATCAAGGCAATGTTCAAAGTGCTCAGCAAGCATTTTATACCTTTAGAGGCCAATTAATGGGGTTCTCAAAGTTGTTATATGGGGAATTAGTGTTGCTTCCCTAAAAATATGATTTGTTATTCTCCCCTTGTTTTGGTTATTGCCACTCTCATGTACTTGTACTTTCTTCCTTGAAGCAATAAAAGCCCATATTCCCCACATTCGTCATTTTTGTGTGTTTATTTCATCATTATATGCTAAAAGTGCAACATGCGATGCAAGAAAAGCAAACAAATAAAGTAAAAAATAAACTAAAGTATTTCAATTACGATGTTTGATTCTAAAAGTCATAAAGAAAAGAAAGATCTTTAGCTAACTCTACTGAAGAAGATTATAGATGTTGAAGGCTTTGAATTGTACTATTCTAATCAGGCAAGATAGCCTATCTGGCGATGCAATAATTTGACAAGAGGTCGGCTTGAGCACTCATGCTTGTAAGGGGCCAAAGGTCGAAAAAATGATGGAAAAGAAGGATGAAAAGTGAAAATCCGTTTAATTCTTGCCACTAAGGTCATTTCACATTGCATATCATGCATACATTTCATTAATCATGAACTGATTGAGCATTTATCGTAACTCTTAAGTTTAAATTTTATTATACTTACTTGACTACCATCTCACTCGTATTAATGTTTTGAGCTTTCGCACTCACGTAGTCAATGCTTTGAGCCTATAAGCTCACGCTTTTAATGTTTTGAGTCTCTATGCTCACTCCATTAATGTTTCAAGCCTTTACACTCACTCTACTAATGTTTCAGGCCCTACACTCTTAACTCTCAATCTTTTGAACCATCGAGTCCATTATTTTCACATTTTGAGTCCCCGTGCTCATAGTTCTTGATATTTTGGATCTCCGAGTCCATTATTTTTATACTTTGAGTCTCCGTGCTCTTAATTCTCAATATTTTGGATCCCTGAGTCCACTATTTTCATATTTGAAGTCCCCGTGCTCTTCATTCTCAATATTTTGGATCTCCGAGTCCACTATTTTCATATTTTGAGTTCCCATGCTCTTAATTTTCAATATTTTGGATCTCTGAGTCCACTGTTTTTCATATTTTGAGTTCTCATGCTCTTAATTCTCAATATTTTGGATCTCCGAGTCCACCATTTTCATATTTGAAGTCCCCATGCTCTTAATTTTTAATGTTTTGGATCCCTGAGTCCACTATTTTCATATTTTAATTCCCTTTTCTCTTCATTCTCAATATTTTGGATCTCCGAGTCTACTATTTTTCATATTTTGAGTTCCCATGCTCTTAATTCCCAATATTTTGGATCTCCGAGTCTACTATTTTTCATATTTGAGTTCCCATGCTCTTAATTTTTAATATTTTGGATCCCCGAGTTTACTGTTTTCATATTTGAAGTCCTCGTGCTCTTAATTCTCAATATTTTGGATCCCTGAGTCAACTATTTTCATATTTGAAGTCCCCGTGCTCTTAATTCTCAATATTTTGGATCTTTGAGTTCACTATTTTTCATATTTTGAGTTCCCATGCTCTTAGCTTTCAATATTTTATATCCCAAAGTCCACTATTCTTTTGATATTTTAGGATCCCTATGATTATTACTTTAAGATTCTTATACTCTCCAATGTATGCTAAATCCTCATGACTATCTTTCCTTTAAGTGGCGAATACGCGTAACTTTTTTCGCTAGACAAAATTGGAGTTTAAGTCTTTACTTATCTTTTACTACAATTATATGAAAACTACTATTCATATTCTTTAGTAAAATTTAAGTAAAGAGGGGCAACTGTAAACACCAATTTTTTATCCTACTAATTTTTCTACTAATTTATTTCCCAAAATTTTCAAATTAATAATCCAAGAACAAATAATTTACAAACTAGATTTAAACTCAAAAAATACACACAATAAGCATAAATAATAAATAAAAAAAATATAAAAGAAAATCAGAAAAAGACAAGAAAATAACAAAACAATCTTTTCCTCTGCACCCAAGATCTCTGCCATCCTACACTAAGAGTGTGCATGGTTTGGTTTTTCCAAAAAACCACATTGAACCGAACCACACCATTTTATTAAATTGAACCAGTTTATAAACCATTTGAACCACTTTAATAAATCGATTTAAAACTGAATTATTTTAATAAACAGGTTTATAATCGGTTTAAAACCAGTTTCAAAACCAAACCAGTTTTTAAAACTGATTTTAAGAAATAAACTGATTTTAACTAATTTTAAGAAATGTACCAGCTTTAAACAATTAGGTTCGAGCAACTTTCCATCCGAAGTTCGAGCAAAGAGCATGCCCCCATCCAAACGAAACCTTGGCTACGTTCTCTCCAGAAAGTGCTTCCATTTTGGTAGGCACAATAGCCTCAGTGACATGTTTGCCAAGGGAGTTGACCGCGTTTTGACTTCCCCCACACCCAAACAGAACCATCATCCCCGACAACAGCGAAAACAATGCCTGACGCGAAAGCACCAGTGGTACAGTACAGTTTAAATCCAGTTCGGTTCTTTTAGTTTTAAGTGAACCGACCCTCTTAAAAAATAGGTTCGGATTTTAAACTTATATTTAAAAATATATATCTAGTCCTTTTTTTTTTTACAATTGGTTCTAGTTTTTTTAAAATGGTACAGTACAATTTTAAATCCAGTTCGGTTCTTTTGATTTTTTTGAACACCCCTATCCTACACTTTACTGTAGGATTATTTCTCCTCCAACAAGCTTCTTGAGCTCCTCTGCCCTAGCCACCAACATGTCCCCAAGAGCATTCTCCTGCCATATATGCTTCCAAAAGCATTAGCTTGGACCAACAGCCAAAGAACAATTAAAAACAATAGTGAGTCTATATATAATAGAAGAGAACACGAACAAAGGGGGACGGAAAAATTTTGAAACAGAGAAGAATCGAGGATAACAAAAATTTCAAACAGAAACAACTCAAGCAGAAGGCAAAAGAAGAGGCCAAAGTAGTGCAGGTATCAATTACCCTCTTCGATTTTTATTTAGTATGATGTTGTTATTATATAGGATGCAAAACAATTTCTGATCAGTAAGACAATTTTATTTTTAGTGAACCTTTTACCATGAAATCGAAACCCTCATTCTCAAACCTCAATAAAGCATTTAACAAGTAAAAAAATCCAGATAGAAAAATAGATGAAAATAAAATAAAAAGGGTTGATGAACAATACCAAAAAATGGTGCTTCCCGTGAACACCATTATGCACCGCTGCCGGAGGTGATTTCCGGCCACCGCGAATGTCGCCGTGTACCGCCGCGCGGCGCTGTTGGAGGCGATTTCCGCTGGCGGCATCGTCGGCCTTTAGCCTTTTTCGTGGACCTTTACTATGCTCGACCGAGACGAACTGCACGCCACCGTCGGAAACGATTTCTGGTGGCAGCCACCAGCCTCTCCCTTTCTTCGTTTCCCTGTTTAGCTATCTCCTCCTTCCCTCTGCATATCCGGCCGTCCACCTTAGCCATGACGATGCCATAGTAGCGTTCGCCGCGCCGTCGACGTTCGTGGAGGGAGGCTGCACGCAAAAACCCTAGGCAGAGCGTCCCTCACTCCTCTCACCCTTTTCTATTTTTAGGTTTCAATGAAATGGCCGAATACCATCTGATCCCTTTTTTTTCCTTCCATTTTGGGCCAGCATATGGGCTTAGCCCATCCAAAAAATAATTAATTAACTTTTTTTATAAAAAAAAAAAAGAGTAATCAGATGATATTTTACTAAAATGATATATTTTATAATTGTCATTATAATAATATTATATATGTATATATAAGAAGTAAGTATACGTATAAAGTATATATATATATAAATTAAATCCTTACGTAACGTTATATATTCAATTGTTACGTAACTTTAATAGGTTTAATAGTTATAATAATAATTATTATTATTATAATAATAATAATAATAACTATGATATTCTCTTATCAATAATCAATATTAGTATTAATTATATCTATAAAATAGGAGATTATTTGTATATGGTATTCCCTTAATATTAGATGAAGATATTTGTTTCTTGTTTTAACAAAATTAGTTTAATTGATTTTATTTGATTAAGTTATTTCTTTATACAAATGTGTTAGATATTTACATGATCTTTTAATCCATTTAAACAACAACAATAATAATAATAATTACCATCATATTCTCTTATCAATATTAGTATTAATTGTATCTATTAAAAAGGAGATTATTTGAATGTGACATTTTTTTAATCCTAAAACTTAAGGATATAAGTTGTGACAACTTATTATTTTAAAATTTTTTACAATGCATAATTAAACATCAAAATATTACCACAATATTCAACATAAATATTTGAAATTATTATATAAAAGAATTTATTTGAGGAATGGTTAATTAGATGTGACATCTTTTTAACCTTTAAATTTAAGATACAAGTTGTGACAACTTGATATCTTTAAATTTTATTTCCCAAAAACAAAAATATCCAACAAGAAAATCTTTTATGAAAATATCATAGTAACAATAATTTCGATAACAATGATTATAATTATAATTAAAATTTTATTGAATTGACTTTGGTGTACACCTTAGTCAATTTTATATTTTTAGGGTGAATGAGCTTAGACAGTTCAAGAATCCTATATTTAACTAAAATAAAATTTAATTAAAAAATATCAACACACAAATATTTTCTACAAATAACTACGTGACTCTGATTCTTCATTACACATGGAGATACGTAGGAGCAAGAAATAAATCTTGTCGAGTCAAAAAAAATATTATCTTCCTTTTTTATATAACAATAATAATTTTAACTTTTTTTAATGCATTAGTTAAATTAGTTAAATAAAATATATTTAATCATTTTAGTGAGATAAATATTTTATAAATTATAATTAATTTGTTTAATTAATTAAAGGTAATCTTCTTAGGACGAACGTTGTGAGGTGCTAATACCTTCTTCACATGTAATCGACTTCCGAACTCAAAAATCTGGTTTTCGTAGACTATTTTCTATTTTATGATTTTTTCAATGTTTTTTCGTAAAAATAACATTGGTGGCGACTCCCTATTTTTCAATTTATTTTTCGCTGTTCCGTCGCGATCTCGGTTGCGACAATTACAAAGTGGTGGTATAACCTTTTCATGGCGGTCTATAAAATAAATCATATCAACCACTTCATCTAATCATGCAGAAATTTTAGCATTGCATGAGGCAAGTCATGAATGTGTCTAGCTAAGATCTATGATTCAACATGTACGGGAAACTTGTGGTTTATCTTATAGAAAATGTCATCAGCAGTTATATATGAAGATTGTGTTGCATGTATTGCACAGTTGAAAGATTGATATATAAAGCGAGATAAAATAAAGCATATTTTACCAAAATTTTTCTTTACTCATGATCTTCAAAGGAATGATTATATAAATGTTCAACAAGTTCACTTAAGTGACAACTTAGCAGATTTCTTTACAAAGTTACTTTCAAGAAATTTTTTTGAGTAGTTGATACACAACATTGGACTTTATCGTCTTAAAGATTGTATGTATAAGGAGGAGAAATATATATTTATGAATGTTGTACTTTTTTTTCCTTCACTAGGTTTCTATCTCATAGGATTTTCTCTAGTAAGGTTTTAACAAGGCATATTCTAAATATTATACATCCAAGAGGAGTATTATGAATAATAATTAATTGCTTAATTAATGGATATCAATATTCACTATCAATTATTACTATTTATATTTCTGTTATGTATTATTTTATTTTTGTGTAATTGTTCAATTATTATATGTACTTATAAATAGTACTCCCCCAAAGGCAATACACTAATCAAATTCTTTTCTTTCTTTCATATTGTCTTCTTTGATCAATTTGTTATTATCTTTCTTTTCATAACATAAAGACTTTTTAAAGATTATTTTTGATAGAAAATATTTATATTTATTCATTATTTTTTATTAGTTTCCTTTACATTAACGAGAAATATCATGGTAGTGTATAAATTTTCACATTAATTAAAATTAAAATAATTTAGTATTATAAGTTGAGCATGTATTATGTGATCGGCAGATAATACAATTTTGTATTATAAGCATTTTAAAAAATATATTAATGATAATTTTTAATAGTGGATGTGTATATCTATTAAATTCTTATAAATTTTAAAATAAATATTATAAAAATTAATAATCTTGTTATCAGTTATTTTATTTATTTAAAATATAATTTTTTTATTGATAAGGAATTATAATTCTTTCCTACATCAATTCTTATAAAATCCCGATTATATTATATTTAAAATAGGAGATAATTTCATTTATTTTAAATTTTTTTATAAATTTATTTTATTTAATAATTCATATTTTATATCAAATTTATTTTAACAATATAATTATTAAATATAAAATTCTTAATAAATTAAATATATAATTTTTTAGAAAATAAAAATTATATAATATTTCATCATAAAATTTTATATTAATTTATATTTTATTATATAAATTCAAATTAATTTTAAAACAAAAGATCAAATTTTTATAGAAAGATATAATTTTTTTTTTTGCCTAAATGGAACTCTATTTTTAAGAAATACAAGTAATGAATCATTTGACCTAATCACTTTTTTAAAAGATCAATATGTAAAAATAAAAATTAGAAAAATGAAGCAAAGGAATAAATTAGTTTTTATTTTATTTTTTATATTTATTAATTTAGGTTTTTATTCATCTTACCTCTGGCTGCTGTTTCCTTGGGACTCTGCAGCGTCTTCCTCCGAGGCTTGTTAAGGTAAGCCCTTTTCCCTCTCTCGCTCTTCAAATTTTGCTCTTTCTTTCTCTCACCTTTTCTGTCAACAACACTCTTCAAGAAGGAATGAATGAAGTTCACTATTATTATTACCACGTATTTTCAATTTCTCATCTTTTCCTTCTTCGGGTTCTCTCTGTTTCCTCCTTGGTGTAGCTGTCAGAGGGTTTATGGTTTTTTTTTACCCTTCTTTCTAATTTGCGTTTATGCATTAATTATTTTTACAAGGTTATGATTTGCACACCAACTGTTTGATTAAATTAATAAATTACCTGCGTGTCTCGGAAGCCTATTTTCTGTTTGTGGGGTTATTACTTATTAGGTTGAATGTCTGAAATTCTAGCTCCTGCTTGTCTCGAACTTCGTTCAAGTGTTGATATTTTTGACGACTTATGAGCATTAGCGGTTGAGTGAATGTGTTGTGAGAGGGTTAGGTTTCAGGGTATGTTAGAGAAAAGAATTGAGTGAGGTGTGTGTGTGTGTGTATTTGTTTTTCTAGAAGTTGTGGAAAAATTCTGTTATGGTTGAACTGGGAATGTCGGATCCTCAAGATTTGAGGGGTTGAGCTCCAAAGGGTTGAGGGGCTTCGGGGGTGATTCTGGGGTTTCTAGTGAGGGCCTGGGGACGCCTGCAAGTGATTTGATGTTCAAATTAGTAATGGTTTTAGTAGAGTTTTGGTGCTTGGGTGGAGAACAAATACCCGACGGAGGTGCTTGCATTGTGTATTTATTGGAAGGGTGGTGGGATGTCTCCCATGCCCATCAGCAGCGTCCATGATGTCTTCTGGATGCAGTGGGTTTGTCCATGCTGTTTCCCAAAGTGGTTGTAGGAAATACGGTGAGAATTCCATTCCCAAGAGAGGATATGTCAGTCACTCGTCATGTAGGTTGGTTTGCAGACTTCTGCTTTGCAAGGTGGATCTTGGTTATCCAGGATGAAAGATGGGGTGGTGTACTGAGGTGTATGTTTGGTGGATTGGTATAGATTCATGCTGGATCTTTGTTCCCAAAATGGGTCCGAAACAAATTGTTTTTTTTTGTCTTTCATGCTTTGGGTATTGGATGGAATAATTATCTATACATCTGATGTTTATTGTCATGTCAACTCTTTGATTGAATATGACAGTGTCTACACTTCTGTATGTTCAGGACCTTGCTCAAAATTTTGTTGTGTAGTTTGGAAATGAAGGAATGGGAATCAGACTTGTTAAATTAGCGCATAGAATACTCATAAAAGTCTTTGTTCTGTTCTCGGTTTTAACAAATTCATGACTAGTTCCTTAGACCTTTTTGGTTGTCCTGTATGTGAACCAAAGTATGACAATAGAGGATTTTTTTAAAAAACTGTGTTGGAAAGAGTTGGACCTGAAATTCAAAATGTTTCGACCCAAGTGTGTTTTTGTTTTATAGTGGAACCTTAATATGAAAATACTACTTCATTCTATAGATCCTCACATAGTTGTTTGTCATGGTTTTCTACTTGTCTAATTGAATTCAAATGCTCATACCAAATAGTTTTAAATGCTTAAACTTGAGTCAGATTTCTTATCATAGGTTGTTGCTTGTGCTCCATCATTTTAATATACATAGATCTGACTACTCTCTTAAAAATTTAAATTGCTTTTCTCAAAACTTATGGAAATCTTGGTATCAGAAAAGGATATTAATTGAGCAAGGAATCAGATTAGCCACCTTCAACTCCATCCCAAACCCTCCCTTAGGCCATAGCATTATAGCAACTCCAAGTGACTTCACTTTATGTGTAGATCTGATTCTTAGAGGTTTTAATAAGAAACTTAGGAGAATCATACTACAAAAACTGGCTGTCATAGTTGGAGAGACCAAGCCTTTTAAACCCCACACTAGATTCCCATACTTCGAATGTGGGACACAAGTCCCAAACCTTGCAATGGGATCCTAACAGGTTATGATAAGTGGAGAGGAGGATGAATGTTGGAGTGTTGAGTGCTTGTGACTGTTTAGTTTAGTTTTGGTTTGTCTTAAAACTTTGTGCCAAATGAACAAAAATCTAAATTTTAATTGTTACAATGAGAATACGGTATATCTTTTTTTATCATTATTTTTCCGTTGGTTGCCGCCCCACTGCGATTCCAGTGATGATATTGTTGCATATTAATATTCACAAAACTTATTGATTTCATAAACAAAAAATATTTCTTATTTGAGTTATTTCTCATGTAACTTTTCTAATACTTAATATTCAGGTGAGAAAAATAAAAGAGGGAACAAGAAGTTGACAATAGCGGAATGGTGGTCTCCAGTACAAGTTCCCACAACAAGGAGATAGCCATCAGGAGGAGGATTGCTAGCATGTAATTTTTTCCCCTTTTTCCTATCAGATTGTATCTTTCTTGCTTCGTAATAGGTGAATAGGAAATAATAGTTGCATCATATGTGTATTTGTTTTACAGCTTGTAATAAAAAAATAATTCAAATGCATTTAATTTACACTAAAATAATCCTGCAGAAATTTGCAGGATAAATTATCTGTTAATTTATATAGTGGAAGAAACATTGTTGAAGTTGCAATAGTTGGCAAAATTATATAAGAGACATTAGTATAGTGTCATTTTCGGTGGGTAGTATTGCATTAGTTATTGCTTTTGTTTCTTATTTCTGTGTTTAGTATGGTCAATGTTGCTTATCATGTGTCTACACTACTTCACCAATTTTCACTCAAATCAATTCAAATAGATAAATCAATTATAATAGAAAAAGCCGTACAAGTTTACAGAATACAAGTTGACTCATTGCTGAAGGGTCGAATTGTGCAATGTATAGGACCATATGCTTAGTTATTATGGTTAGTTGTGTGGCTGGGAAAGAGGACTGGAGGAGCAGGGAAATTGGCATGAAATGTAGAATCTTTTTATTTCTTTCACAAGCTAAGCCACCTAATTTTATTGTCAATCATAATTAGAATTCTTAATTGAATAACTATACTAAAAATATGGGTTTTGTCACTACTTTGAAAGTCCTTATTTTATTACAGACATTTTGTAGAATAGAAACAAGTACCATGGTCATGACACTATATTCAGCATTTCATGTTAAATTAAATTCATTTAATTATCTAATTCTGCTAATTGTAAATTCATAGATTTAATAAACGTGAAGATGATTTCCCATCCTTGAGAGAATACAATGATTACTTGGAGGAAGTAGAGGACATGAGTAAGCTTCTAGTCTTCTACTAACTTGTTAACAGCTGTTTCACTTGATTAATTTTGCTTTCTTTTGATGATCCCGCTCCCGCCTTGTTTGCCCATTGCAGCATTTAATTTGGTTGAAGGAATAGATGTTTCTGCTATTGAAGAAAGAATTGCTAAATACCAGGAAGAAAATTCAGAACAAATAACGATTAATCGAGCTCGAAAGGTATTTCTGATAACGGCCTTTTCATTGATGGTCTCCTTCATACATACATGCTCTTTATACATCAGTAATTTGTAGAATCATTTGAATCTTTTTCAGGATATCTCTCCTTTATAACAAAGTGAAATTTAAGTTTGTTATGCAAGAGTGAATTTCCTGCCATATTTTTCAATGTGTTGTTGATTTGTTTTGCTTGTATTAATTAAACAGGCTGAAGAATTAGCTGCTGCTCTGGCAGCAAGTAAGGGACAACCTGCACAAACTGATAATGATGCGGTGAGCTTCTGATTCCTGTTTTCATAAATTGATTACTTTACTATTACTTTTTGGCAGTATTCAAACTTATTGAGCTTGACTCTTATTTGAGAATGATTGAGTTTATTTAGTTTTGTCGTGTTACTTCCTCTATTAAAATATAGTTTACCTGCACAATCCGATTATTGATATGTGAAAACCTTTGCTTTTTCTTAAATCAGCATTTGTTGGCCTTTTGATCTAATACATTTTACCGGAAAGAAATATAAATCCTCCAAATTCCATATAAATTAATAAATTCATATCTGATTCATTTAAAAATAAAAATAAAAACTAATGGTCGTTAAGAATGACAGGAAATGAGCCAATATTATCATTACATAACAAGACATTAAATGGTTGATGGAGGGTTTTGCAGCAGCAGATGCGATGCCTGAAAATAATTGATCAATTTGATCTTACTAAAGTTGTCTTGTGTCTGCAACAACTGTGAAAATTTAGATTCATTGTATTTGAAATTACAGTTTCACTGATTGGGTTTGTAAAAGGTCCTGCTTTGAATTGCTCTTTTTTTATTTTTATTTTTTTTTTATTTCTCATTATTAAAATGAAGCTTGAATCAGACTACGGGAATCATAAAGTAATTGTGTGAGTGTGTTTGTATTCTTGTAAGTTGTGTATAATTATGATTTATGTGATTTTCTTGTAAGCTGTGTATAATTAATGCGAGACTTTTGTGGCTAGTTTGGTTAAAATTTTGATTGCTGAAGCCTTTAATACTAATAAAACTTTTGCTTGCAGCCTTGTTCGATATGATGCAATTATGTTATCACTTTATATTCATATGGTTCGATTTTTTCAAATAACCAAGCTGAACCAATATGAACTGCTTTATAAAAGTAGTTCGGTATGGTTTTTTTTTTCCTCAAAACAATTCGTTTTATGTCATTTTGGTTTTGGATGGGTTCAGTTTTTTTCATACTCCCATCTGCAGGTTAAAGGGTTTTCTGTGATTTTTTCAGATATCTAGTTTGTGCTACATAGTTATGGAGCAGACATGCAAAATATAATATATGCAAGATTAATTTTCTCTTTTTTGTTGAGGCAGGCAGCAAGCCTGAACTCTCAAGCAGGATTTGGTGCTGTTCCTCAGGGACAATATGCCCCTACATTTGGAGGACAGCCAAGGCCCACTGGCATGATGGGCCCACAGCCTTTACCACTTGGAGGGGGCGACATGCTGGGCTTTGCAGGTGAAGATGAGGAAACAAAGAGGATACGAGCTGAGAGAGGAGCAAGGGCTGGAGGATGGAGTCCGGAAATAAGTAGGAAACGGGCACTTGAAGAAGCCTTTGGAAGCGTCTGGGTTTTTTGAAGACAATATTCATGCAATTGTAATTAGTCTTTAGCTGATTTCTTAAGTCCAGTGTCTCAAGCTTTTTTTGGATGTTCCGATGTAAATGGTTTAGAATACATTTTTGGTTGAATTATTATTGCAAGAGTCTTTGGCTTATCTTTTTAAATTATTTCTCTCGCTCTTTTTTCCTTGAAGATGTTTTTTGCTTAAGGAAAGAATTTATTTTGAAATAAGTTTCTCTAAACAAACTATATGTCAATATTTGAGTGGTTAAGTTAACTATGGTAATTTTTTTTTTAAAATAGTAATGTGATGAGAACTTATTTGGAAGAGATTATAAATATCATTTACAACATATCATATTGTTTTCTCATGTGGAGGATGTTGGTTATGTTTAACAATGTTTTCCCATGATATATATAATTTAATTGTGTACTATAACTTAAAATTATTAAGTTAGAATAATTTCATATTAATTGGTGTAAAAAAAATTCACATAAATTAACCCATATTTTTTTTAATAATAATATAATGATTTCCTAAAAGTTATAAAATAAAACTTGGAATTTATTTTAAGTTTAATGTGGTTATTTTTGGGATAATCATATTATTTTTATCGGATTTGCCAACTCTCTGTTAAAGAATCTAATTAACCAGACCACTTTTAATCCTTTAGTGAGATTTTCCATCCCAATCATATATATATATATATATATATATA